TAATATTTGCTTACAATTGAACTGCATATGCGTTTCAATTCTCATTACTTGCAGATTTACACTTGCTTGTTTGCATACAGATATTGATTGCAATTGCATTCATGTACTTGTAATAATTGCAATTATTCCAAATCTCACAATTGCTTATGGGTGATTTGTACTTGCAAGAACTTGGTATGTTGACTTGCAAGTTCAGGTTTGAAGATTTGTTCATTGCAAGTTCTTTGTCGCTTTTGAGAGCGATATTCATTAGGAGCCTCTTTTGTTAGTGTTATCCAACTTCTTTGCATGAAATTGTGGACCCACTGACATGGACACTATGGGCCTCACGTTACTTATGTGTTGGTTGGAAGCCTTTGCTGTAGTATTGTATGAATCGTTGCATCACAAATCTTTTGTTCATGCTTATAATTATATTTATGACTTATGCATTCTTATAGGCGAAATTTGTAGTTACAAGCATTCTCTCGTCTTTGAAAGTAGTTCATGATTTACATGATAATTTTGTTCATTGATGCGTGTAAGAAATTCATGCTAGGGATTCTTTGTTCAATACAAGTTTCATATTTATTTATTTGAACTTAATTAGGAGTTCATTATTTTGCAAATTACAATTACATTCTTCATGGTCCATGCTGCCTGTTTTAGCTAAAGTTCAGTGTAAGTTGGATTCTGTTATGGTTTGGATTTTTTTTTATATATTTGTTTTGAGTGTTGGGAACCTAGGAAGTCATGTCATTTATCTTTTGTTGACTTAGAAATTTAGGTATATTTTAAAATTCTCTAAATCATGAATTTTGTTGAAAGTTTTGGCAGCACTCCAACGTCGTCCCTGTGTACGGGGCAACATCAAAAGTGTAAATTCTTTCCGCCTGCCAAGAAAGGCAGTCACGGTAGGTGTCAGGTGACACCGCGGTTGCAGTTTTGTTCCCCGCTCGCTAATAAAAGCGGTCACGGGGTCTTCAACTACCTGTTTAAAACACAACATTTGCCCGTCTTAAGTGCGCAGCGACTGAGGCGATGACGGTAGATGGCGACGACGATTGAAAACCTTGAGCTTGGAGGGAGGGAGGCCGGTTAGAGAGAGGAACCGAGAGGGAGCGGGAGGCGGCCTTGGCGTGCGTTGGAGTCGTGGATGTCGTGAGGGGGGAGGTTGGTAGAGTAAGGAGGGAGTTATGAGGGGTTAAGGGTTTAAGTGGGGGTATTTTGGTTTTTTTTTTATTTAAGAATTTTCTTTTTTTTTAATCTATTTCTCAGTCTCTTTAAAATTTATTTATAATTATATGGCATAATAAAAAAATTATTAATTGTGCATCAATTTAGTCACCATGTCGTCGTCTTTGTTCGAGCACATTGTCACATCAATTTGCGTGCGCAAAATTTAAATTTTTGCCCATTGACAATCCCAATCAAAATTGGTGTCAATCTTAGTTGTTTCTGTTACTACGGACGCATCGAAGCTGTCTGTTTCGTTAACGGAGGCCATTTCGGCAATTTTGGTTTTCGGTCGACAAACATCATGTGAGTTACGTGAGGTTTCGAATTCTTTTGCTTTCGAAATTCATCTTGGGCGGTCGACTCGACCCTGGCACTAGCATTGAGGTCAACAAATCATCAAGCTTTGAATTATCCAAGTCCCTAAAAAAATTAGGTGATAGACATGCTAAAAGGGTTGTTGAGTTTTTCATAGTTGTTTTATCCTTAAACATTATGCTAGTATTAATGATAAATCTATTAATGCTTTAAGTAAGTTTCTATTTTACATACAATACACTTTAAGGTGATTGGTTTTGAACAGATAAAAGAATATCTTACTAAAAAAACTTTAGTGAGATATATTAGAATTTAGATAAAAATTAATTTAAACATAACAAAGAGTTTATGCTTAATGATGTTTATTTAAAGGTACTCATATTTGTATTCCATACTCATAATTTTAGAACTACCTGTGACATTTTGGGAGAGAGAACCCATAACAATGATTGAAAATAGATAATATTGGCCTAGTTTAGCAAGAGATGTAGCATACATTTTTCTCAGCGTAGGGTTTACAAAACTTTAAAATGGAAAAAACATAAAGAAATGCAATATACACCCTCCTTTTCAACTCCATATAATCCTCAAGAGGAATTTTGCATGAATTTTATGTTAAGTTTATAATGAACTCTAAGAAAGGATGATTCTATTTCTGTAGTGATAGGCCGCTTTTCTATAATAAACTATTTTAAACCATGTCAAAAAACTACGAATGCATCTCATACTGCAAATTTATATTTTAATGAGGTAATTAAATTGAATCGATAATCCAGAATAATCATGTTCAATCAAAATGTGAAATTTATGAGTAATTTCTAAAAACTCTTTGAAAAACAAAATGAGCATAACTTCGATTTTCAATTATTTGAAACAGTTAATAAGAGTTTGGCTGATCTATTACATTGCTTGATAAACAATCATGAGTCTTGTTAGAATTTGACACTGCTCATAGCTAAGTTAAATACAATTAATTTGTTAGTATGTTTAAATATATCAACTCATTTTGAATATGTCATAGCGTCTTTCACATAGAAAGTCTGTAAATCTTGTTGAACTCATTTAGTCTAGATCTATTGCGTTTACACGATCATTCAGTCAACATATACATAACTTCCCTTAGGAAATTTGTAGAAAATTGCTATTAATTTTGAACATAATAAGCTTTTTGTTGATGTAGACAAGAGATATGTGGAGTGTAAACTAGGTGGTAACATAATAGTGCTTTTCTACTCAAAAAGACTTTATAAGCCTTCAACAAATTAAGTGAGTAAAGAAACAAGGTCATTTAAAATTTAGTAGCAGATTGCAACAGTATGTTCATTTGTTGGTCCAAGTTTTGTCGAATCTAGTACTTTCAAGGAAAGTTGGACTTGAGATTAAACCTGCGCATATTCTTGATGATTTGCACATTGCATTTTAAAGCATATGTGTAATTTATTAGCATGTTGCATACTATATATGCACATTTTTAGTGTATATTTGTATAATGCACTTGCACATTTTTGGTGCATTTGCATATAGCATTTTCCATCATATGTACATTTTAGCAATTCCAATGTAAATACATAATGCACTTGCACATATTGGTGCATTTGCATATTGCATCTTATCGTGTTTTAGTGTTTCTGTATGATGCACTTTTATTTTTCTTTGTGTGTATTTCCATATTGCATTTGCATTTTAATTGCAGTAAGAATTTTAAAAATTTATTTGTGATATTTTTGTCCGCGCAGTATTCTAAGATGTCATGCTTGCATATTCATATCGCTCATTGGAGCATAAGTGAAGTCATCATTTGCAAGACCTATCTTTTCGTGCAACTTTAAACATCTTTGCAATACACACTTGCACAACTTTCAATGCATCCGTATGACATTAGCATATGGCATCCAGTGCATTAATTGCATTTTATGCTGCTTGAGGCAAGTTTAGTACGATTTGAAGATTGCCTCAAGATACGTGCAACTTAAAAAATATCTAGATTCTATTAATGCATCCTTTCAAATTTCTTACAAGAATTTCGAGACATTGTACATCATAATTTAAGAGTTTGAGAAATTCATAAAAGTAGTCACAAGCAAATTCTCATTTTCGCCTTTATATTTTGTATTAGGAGTTTTTAAGTACACTGTATGTCCGTTTATACGAGAGGTTTGCAGATCTAGTGGTGAAAAAGACAATATTTGACTGTTACATTTTAGTATATTGTACTTTTCTAGATATTTTTGTCTTCACCTTCTATTCGCTTGCACAACAATATTTTAGATTAGGTAGCGAGCAAGGAAACATTAGGCCGGTGGCGGGATCTGGCAACGTGAGTCATGAACTTGGTCATTTGCCATAGTAGACTGCAGCGAGTAGGCAGGCAGGGTGGTCAAACAACGGAGGCAGGCGACTAGGAGGCTGGCAACGGGAGTCGGCTCGCACTGGAGAGGAGAGAAGAGGGGGAAGCGCTTGGGTCTTGCGGCTGAGAGGTGCTCGTGTAACATAGTGAGGAGAGGGGGAGTGATCGAGAGGCGATGTACTGTAGAGAGAGGAGTCTGCTATGAGAGGTGTTGAGGGAAGTGTGTGAGAAAATGAGAGATATTAGATTAGGGTTTAGATTAAAATCAGGAATTGCATTTTTACCCTCCGTCTCTATTTTTAGATGGTAAAAAATGAAAGGGCGAATTTGCCCTTCAACTTGCAATAGAGAGGACAGAATAAAGAAGCTAGAATATTCTGATTTTTTTTACTAATATTGCAAGTTTTAATTTCAGCATTCATAGATTCCCTCAAAACAATTTCTGATTCCAAAATAAAAAGAAACAGGGCCTGCTACAGTAAAGAAGCCCATAATAAGGGAGTAGCATAAGACTTCCGATAGAAGAAAGTTGCAAATAGACTACCATCCCGAATCTAGCTCAATAAGGGAAAATTTAATCCACTGGTAGTGGCAACACATAAGAAAAACCGTCAAAGCATTTTACATCTTTTGCCCGTCACAGCACTTTGCAAGTTTTGCAAAGGGAAAAACGCAAGCAATTCACGACAGTCAACAGCACCAAGAGTTGAAGACAAAATGAGTTGAACAAAGCTATAGTGCAAAACATAGGAAGGTGGAAAATAAAGGGGTAACAATAATCACACTCTAAATAAGAAAGTAGCAAAGAATCGTTAGTGTTAAACTGAAGAATCAGACGAGCTGAATCTTGCAGCAGTAACCAAAACTATCAAAGTAACTAAAACATTAGAGAATTCATCTCATACTCATAGGTACCAACATCATAAGTCTATTACATTAAAAGTCAAACTAGAAAACAAAAAATAAGCCAACTAGAACAACACCAAAATTAAAATGTGTACGTGTAAATTCTCAGGTTTCCATCACTTCTTAAATAAGAGACTATTTAAATACAAATCAAATTTCTCTTCATACTTAAAATTCAAAAATTGGTAACTGTTGCTTAAAGTGTGATACCTACAAATAAGATTGAAAAAGAGAGAACCAGCCAAGCTAAACGTAGAAGAGATAGGGTTGGGAGACTTTGCTCCTCCCCTCCAACACCAACTCCTACAATAAGAAAAAGCTGAAGTCAATGAAAACTTAGAGCAACAATCATACTGGAGGACGTTAAAAGATCATAATCGTACAGTGAATGAGATAGTCTGACTAAAAAGAAAAACATTTTTGGCAAGTAGGACAAATTAGAAAGATTTTTAAGTTTACTTCATTAGGTTCAAAGAAAATTGCAAGCTATAAAAACTTTTTATATATCGACAACCTCATCTAGATTTTGTTGCTTTAAGATTAGTTTTTTGATGTCTCACTATTATTAACTTCTAACGCCCACTATTTGTTTAGAAGAATCAGCAAGTAGCACTAAGAAAGTGGACAGTAGGTTATCCACAACAGCAAGAATCTGAAGTAATAACTAAATATGAAGATGGAAATAAACTTACTTTACCTATTGTGCCAATGCCAGCCAACACAATACCAATCCAATCTAGTGCATTCATGACCTCCTTAAGATAAAAATGGGAGAAAACTGCGAGTATAGCAAGGCCACAACCAGAGACTGGCTGTATAATAGAAACCTGTAGCAATATCATCAACGTAATTAATCAAGTATAGTGAAATCCTATACGGTCATCAGAATCAATAAATATACATAGCAGAAGACAAATCATAAATTCACATGATATGTTTCTAACAGTAACATTAAAGTAGTCAGAGTGCTCTTAAATGAAGTTCCTGGAAATCAATGTTTGACAGAAGCTTAAAAACTCTGCTACATTAATAATTGAAAACAATTTGGCTTGACATTAAATAAATTTCTACAAACAGAACTGTATTATAAAGAACATAAAAATTAGAATTAAATTTAAGCCTTCCTGTCAAGTACTACGTTCAATTGCATAACAGCAACAAATATCATTAAGTTGTCATAGATGAAATGGACTCATATACAAATTCATAGTACAATTTTAGGACTCTGCCATAATTTCCTGTTAGTACAGGACTACTTATTGATTATCATTGGCAACGGCCCTATGCATATATTCCTCAGGAGGAACCTGTATTGATCAACAGCTAAACGGGCAAACCTACCAGTCATCCCATTCTCTTTGTTCTTTTGCCGGAGTTGTAGTGCCATTTTCTTCTTTGATGATTTCAAGGCAGTCCTAGGAAAGAAATAAATAAAGACATCGTTTAAAGAATTTTTTTTCTTTAAACTTTGTTCAAACCCTTTCTTTGGAAGTTGCAAGTGAACGCATTTGTGAACAAGGATATCACTCCATATGATGTAAGAAAAAAAGTTCTCAAACAAAAACAGTTCTCAGTGTAATCTCCCAAACCATCTCTTTAAAAATCCTCAATCAAATTTCAACAGCTTGACTAAGGGCCCTCTATTTCCAGGTTTTACGCCTCTGGGGATCAAACCTAAGAAAGTGCAAACCAGACTTATCGGATATTCACTTGCATCCAAACAATGAAAGCTTGGGAGCAACTCAATATTCGTTGAGTCATTCTTATCCATAGTTCAACTAACTCCATTTAATTAATTGCTCGTTTGGGATGAACCATCCACTCTAGAAAAAACTATAATTCCTTCATTATTGTTAATTCTCTATAGCTTGGCTCACATTTTCAATCATAACAACTTGGAGTGGATTTTAGCTCCAAGATGAAGAAAATCATAAATATTTGGAACACAAAAGAACTCTGAAAGTCACATATCTTCTCAAACAATGTGTAAGACCGGTCCATTGACCCGGTCCAGCCGGTCCACATGGGCCCGGCCCAGCGCAACGGAGGCGGAAGATTTAAGCCTCATTGGTAGTCGTTCGAACCGCAAGAGCCAACCGAATATTTTAAGAAGGATTTTTTAGGGTTTTGGGATGGAATTTTGAATGTAGTGACTGTTTAGGGATTTCCTTTTGATTTGTATGCATTAAATAGTTTATTTTCTTAGGGTTAGGGTATGTTGAATTTGGTTGAAATTTGAGATCTCTTAGGTTTAGGTTTTCTTTGGGCTCTAGCGGCGTCTAGAGATTTGGTAGAGATCGATCCTCCTCTCGAATAGAGGATAAATTGTATCTTGTTGTTTTTTCTTCGTCCTCTAGTGAATTTCAAGTGATTTTCTCATATTTTCCTACAGTTTTCGCAAAACCTGCACTACAGCTGCTGTTTTTTTTTTTCAGAAATCCAGCAGTTTTCTGGATTTATAGTGGTTGTTTCCTATCACAATGCTCTCAACCAACACTTCTAAGATACTAAGCAGCATAAAGCAATTAAATCACAACTCAATAACGAGCCTAGAGAAACTTAAAAAAAACATGGTTTTCAAGAGAGCTATCCATTAGCAATCATTCAGCTTCCAACTATTAGCACATTCTTCAAACATATTTATATTCCTTATTTCTATTACAAAGGAGGTGGGGGGCCTTTTGGATTCCATAATGCTCACCAGCTCGAGAAGAATGCATATCCATCTAACAACAGAGTTTTTAGATACATAGCTAGAACATTGTTACCCCGCCGTATAAAACAAAAAGTGTCTTATCTACAAACCCATCTGCCTTCCAAAATTTACCCCGGAACTTAGTTCGTTAAAACTCCCTCGCCGAATGAGAAAAGCGAGTGGAGGCCGGGGCCGAATTTTCGGAGCCCACAAACATAGATGTAAAAATCAAAATAGATATTAAAAAAAAAAAAATTCTTTAAAAACATCACCTTTATGTTGGATGATAGCTTCTTGAATTTGATTTATCATTTAAACTTTCCATGAGAGCATATGTACTACCAGGCTCTCCCTCTCCGTCTCCAATCCAAAAAATGATATTAACATTTTGGCCATCTCATTAAGGACGGCGGATAGAGGGGTAAGTATAGAGGAAGTCAACAATTAAGACAATGGTTTGACTTTGGACCATCCATGAGATGTTAAAAAAGATCCCAGTTCATCATGTAGACATGAAGAGTACCCTAGGAGTATATCTAGGATAAATTATTAAAATCTAGAGAAACGTAGCGTGGACTTCCTTGCTGAAATCTCCTTTCTTCCGTGAGAGTTCAATATTTTAGTTTTTCATTTTTTTTCTCCTTCGTTAAAATATTGGGGGTATTCCAGTTTGTTAAGAGTAAGCATGATTCCATTTGAGAAAGTAACTCAAAATCATTCATTTAGTTTGCCTCTTAAGTTTTAGAGGAAGAGTCAAAAGGTCACCTAAGCCAACAGACAGATGGGCACCATTCACAGATGGCTTGGGCAGAAGGACAGGAAAAAAACGAGTACTGCTATCGCAACTACAAAAGGAGGCAAAGCAAATCATGGCGAATATCAAACAATTTAGCCCATCCTTATACTTTTTTCAAAAACAACTAAATCTTGTTTCAAGAAATCAAATCCAGAAAGGTCTTCCCAATAGTGTGAAAGAGAGAGAGAGAGAGAGAGAGAGAGAGAGAGAGAGAGAGATTGAAAACAATGGAAAAAGATTAAAAAAAAGGAAGAAATTCAAGCGTAGCAAAGTTGAATAATCATAAAGATTACGTCAGTGCAAAGGCGACCAAGCATTGTGTGAGAGTCTCAAAAGTTTGGTATAGCCACACGATGACAGAACATAGCCTCCAAGCCACAAAAGCTCAGTTCCATAAAGAGTAGCCTCAAAAGCTTGAGCCAAAGCATAGCATGAAAAATTCAAAAGTTTGATGCAAAGCCACAACCAAGCATATCCTATGATTCACAAAAGCTTAGATTAATAGAGTATGGCCTTCAAGCCTCAGAAGCTCAAGCTAGCTTAAGGCTACCAAGTATAGACTTAGAACGCTTGGTCAAACCCTGCAACAATTAAAAATACCCTCTAAGTGACATAAGCTGAAATTAGTAGAGCATGCCTCTTTAGAAAAGTAGAAAAATAGAAAAAAGTATTTTCACTTTTATTACTTGATTCAGTACAAAATTTAAAAGTATATATAAACTTCTCCGAAAGTCTTACAATGGAAATAAATTAAAGTTACTAAATAAAAAAAAATCCCCAAGCAGAGCCAACGACTAGAAGAGGATTAAAAAGCACACGGATTGCAATCTAAAGGGCATAATAAAGTTGATCCAACGATTAAAGATTTTAAACCATGTGCTCAAAGATTCCTACCAAAATTGGTTGACTTGTTGGTCTCACAATCATTCAACACTTCCCTTCAAACTAAATGATATAATGAAGCGGCAGCTAGCAACACAACTGCCCAAGAGAGCAGCAACATAGCTTCTCAGGAAAGCAGTAGCCCAACTGCCCAACTGGGGCCTAGGACCTCTTTTACCATCTATAAGAGAAAAGGCTTTAGGGGGAACACTTTGGGAAAGATGTAAGGGGCATTTATTAGTAAATTTTGACGGTTTAACGGGGAAGATTATGGTGGGTTAAGGTTTAATTTGACTTTTGTTTTTTGCAGTAGTTTTTGTTAGGTGTTTGGGTTCCTGGTGGCTGCTAGGAGTTGTGGGAGAGATAATCCACCTCTCGAATAGTGAATTAACTTGTAGCTTGTCTTTCTTTGCTCGGAAATTAGTAAATAGTAAATACAGCTCACTTTGTGTTATTTTTAAATCTATTTGGAGTAAGTAATTTTTTTTATATTATTATGTGATGCTATGATCATCAAGTCCTATCAAATTGATATCAAAGATTCAGGACCTATGGCGCCAAAGAAAGCAGATTCTTTGGAAGATAAACTAGAATTACAAGTTGGCCAACTCAAATCTGAAGTTAAGGAATGGATTTCATTTATGGAAGGAAGGTCTTCTAACCTAGAGCACATCATGAAGAAAAGGGAATGGATTTCATTTATGGAAGGAAGGTCTTCTAACCTAGAGCACATCATGAAGAAAATATTGGAGTTTCACACCCAACCGGCAACATAGGAGGCAAGAGCACCGACGGGTGCCCAAGGAAATAGGAAAAAACTCAATATCGGAACATGGGGGATGATCCAGACGTAGAAATCTTGGGCGACGGGGAAAATAGGCCACCTCTTGAACCGATAACAAGAAGAGAAATGGGTGAAGAATATGGCATGAGGACAAATTTGGAGGAATAAACAAGGAGGACTGATTTAGAGGAAGGGGATATCAATGAAAGGAGGGATGGGAAAGAACAATGGAGAGATCACAACAATCACCACATGGTAGGAGCTAAAGGTGGAAGAGGAAGTTGGGGCGGAGGGGATCTATGGGGGTAATGGAGCTAGCTTAGTAAGTGGAGGAAAAAAACTAACTTGAGAGAAGTATCAAGTGCAGTAATTTGGAAGATTCGTACTAGATGACGACGGCTTTTTTTGGGAACTAAAAGTACAATGGTACAGCCTGTGCTCATTCAAAGGAAGGACCCAAGGATAGGGGATTGGGAGCACGGCCCGGAGAAAATTTCAAGCGGTTGACTGAGGCAAAGGTTCAGGAGAAGCAGTAGGCTAAGGGACTGTGTTTTTATTGTGATGAGAAGGTTGCACCGAGCCACTGCTGTAAGGACCATTTGTTGCAGGTACTTACAGTCTGTAATGAGGAGATACATCAAAGATGTTGGCCAACTGGCGAGCCTGGGCAGAATAATGGTATAAC